CAGGCATGGCTAGAGTCTGGCCCTGTCGTCTTTACTGCCCCCATCAGGTGTTTATGCACACCGTCAAGATTGTTTAGGCTGGAGAAGGAAAGGCTCAGGCAATCCTAGCTTGCATCCTCACCCCATTATTTCAGCCTTCAATCCTATTACCATCTCCCTGGCCTCTTGCTGGATACATTCTAGTATGTCCATGACACTTTTGCACTGGGGAGCTCAGCACTGGACACAGTGTTCAGAGGTGTCTCACTCACTCAGGGTGGAGGGGCAGGAACAACTCCCTCTGCCTCCTAACAACACTCTGCCTAATGGATGCAGCCCAGGAAGCTCTTGAGTTTTTGAGGCCACAAGGGTGCACTGCTGGCTCAACTTGGTGTCCACCAGGACCCCCAGAGCCTTTCCTGCCAAGATGCTTTCCATGAAGTTGCCCGGGTGGCTGGGATTACTACTCTTCCAGGTACAGGACTCCATATTTCCTCTCGCTGAGCTGTCAGCCCATTTCTCCCATCTGTTAAGGCCCTTTTGAATGGCAGCACAGCCCCCTGGTGCATAAACAACTCTGTCCCATGACTCAGGTTGTTAATGAAGATTTTTAACAGTGGAAGAACATGTATTGATAGGGAGCACCAGTAAAAACAAGCTAGGCTTCATACCACTGATCACAACACTTTGAGCACAGCTGTTCAGTCAGCCCTCAACACACCTACTCACCACCTACTTGACACAATCCATAATTCATCAGTTTGGGAGGATGTTATGGAGGACAGTGTTAGAAGCCTTGCTAAAGTCAAGATATACAATATCCACTGCTCTCTTCTCATCCACGAAGCCAGTCAATCTAATTGGAGACAGGTCTTAAGTTGCCAGGCATGCTTTCCCTTCCATAAATCCATTCTGCCTGTTACTAATCACTTTCTTGTTCATGTTTGGAAATGGTTCTCAGGACTATTTACTCCACTGCCTTCCCAGAGGTCAAGGTAAGACTACCTTGTAGTTCCCCATATTCTTCTTGTCTGCCTTGAGAATAGGAAGGACATTTGCTCTCTTCCAGCCCTTAGGAATTCTGTCCATTGACATTAACTTTTAGATAAAACAGCTTCATGATGACATCAGCCAGCTCCTTTGGCAGTCATGGATGTGTCCCATAGACCTGCATACACCCCAGCTGTAGGTATTCTTTACCTTAATCCTTCTCATCCAAGGGTTGATCTTCCTTGCTTTAGCCTTTCCCACTAGCCTCGGGGGCCTGCAATCCCTAAGGCTGGTCTTACAGTAGAGACCAAGGCAAAAACTATATGGAGTACCTTAGCCAACTCCATGTCCTTTGTCCTGTGGATTCCTGTCCCATTTAGCAGCAGGCCCACACCTCCTGATCTTCCTTTTGCAGCTGATACACCTTGAAGACCTGTTGTCCTCCACATCCCTTGCCAGGTTCAGCTATAGGTGGCTTTGCTTTGGCTTCCCATATCCCATGCCTGGGCATCTCCACAGGACCTCTACATCCCTCACAGGTTACCTGTACCTGTTCCAGCAGCCTTCCATAGAGATTTTTTCATGGTGGCACATGGCAGAACACTATAGGCAAAGGGTACATGTTGAAATGAGAGAAGTTTAGCCACACAAAGGAAAAACCTTCCCCCCTACCCCATACATGCTTCATGTGTTCTTATCTCTGTCCTGTTCACCTACTGAGCTTCTGCATGTTGATCAGGAAACACAGCAGCTGGCAGAGATGTGCAGCACTGCCTGGATGCACATTATCACTCAATCAGCAATGCAAACTGATTCCCAGAGGAACTTCTGTACTAGAACAAGCATTGAGACACTCAGTACTTGTACCTGCCATCTGAACAAGAATGCTCAGGCCTTTGGACTTTGACCAACCTGCAGCATTAAAAAGCAGACTGACAATTTTAATAGGCCATTTTTTATTGAGAGTTACGATCATGTCTCCCCACGGTGTGCAGAACGCACTATGAAAACAAAATACAGAGGATCACTTTAGTATATACACACTGGTTAAGCAATGCTACTTTTTGGCAAAGTGCTGTATTTTGTCTGTTTTCAGCTTGTGTTAAACTATTAAAAATAAGAGCCAGACATTCTTTCGTATCAAAAGGACTGCTACAAACAGAGAAGTGGCTCTGGAGAGAAGCTGCCATATATGCATAGACTGATGTACAGTATTAATCCTAACTGAAATGTCCCTTTTGAATCTTCAAGTTTGCTATGTAGAAGGCACAGTTTAAAATGCAAGTCTGTCCATTGACCTATACATATGAAAATACAATTTCAGCAAGATTCATGAATATCAGTATGAGACAGTGCAAGGCCTCCACTTTTACAAGAAACAAAACACACACTTTAATACAATTCAAAAAACCATATAAAAAGCCACACAGCTCACTATTAAAACAGAAAACCAAAACAAATCTAATTGCCCAATAGCTTCAGGCACAAAACAGGGTTAGACCAACATAAATATGTAAAACAAATTACCAAAAAGCCATTGATGCAGTACTATCTCACACAATAATATGGTTTCCAATATTACAAATTGAGAAGCACAGCTTTGTGCAACAAAATAGTTTATATCCTGAAAGATATAGGTTTTCATCACCAGAAAGTCATCTAGTAATGTAGTATAAAAAGATCAGTATCTCCCAATTCTAGGAGCAGTCTAAAATTGCATTTATTTGCCTATTGAGAAGAACAGACCAAGGCTCTCATTGTAATGCCTGGGAGCCTTATACTCTCAACTCCATCTCCCCATTAAGAGTTAAGGGGTTACTTACTCCTTCCAACACAGGGAGGTGGAGACTCCATCTTCCTTCATTTCACTTTAAGAAAATTAAAGCTGAAGGAAAGCAGTTACTTTTATATAAAGAACAGTAATACAGGAAAGCAAAGAATTTTCCTGAGCTAGAAAGTTGGCAGCAAGGAGAAGGAAGTTTAAGCCAGACAAAAAGTTGGAGTGATAAAGGTAGATAATCTGAGGCAAGTAAGAGTATTCATGAACAGATAAGAGACTGGTGAAACTACAGCTATTTGCAGATAAAACAGAGTATTTGGACCACAAGAGAATTGTTGTATGGACATGGGCACATACTGTTGAAAAGAACAGTAATAAAATCTGGTTTGGAAATTCATGATGTGACCAATTCTGGTTTTTTCACTGTACATGTGAATTTAAGGTGTCAAAAACCAACCAATCAACAAATCAAGACTAGTGTGCCCAGGAAAGCACCTCTTGCTTTTATACATTTAACTGTGTCAACATCCCTTTGCAACAATGCTAATTAATTCCAGTGAAGAAGCAACATCTGCAGCACAACAGGTTATAAATGCTGTTTCCTGTACACCAAGTATGTTCCACAACAATTCCAGCTGCAGAACATCCAACAGTACCACTACATCAAGGTCAGTCTGAATTGTTGGGGGTCTGCTTCAGTGAAATTGAAGCATTTGGCTGAATTTAAAGTACTTCACATAGATCTAAAATAATTCACATTTTTTATCTTGCCTAACTTCAAAGACTCCTCACATGTCTTGACTTCTGTATAAGGACTATTGGAAGACACAGTTGAGTGTAATTTTAACACTTTTATAATCTAGGCACTAAACACAAGGGAAAATACAGGAAGTTATATTAAGCACTGACAGAAAGGAGGATAAACTTACATTTCCCCATTCTTTCAGTGCAGATTTCTGTTTCCTCACCTCTACACTCACTGAATCTACTTCCCAGATTGATCTGTCAGGGTTCAGCATGCCTTGTGGCTGCTGTGTAACACAGTCTTGGTTAACAGGTGAATTTTACTTCACCTATAGTTGTAGCTTGCAGTGCCTGCCAACTTCCAAAATATCTTGCACAGTGTTCTTAAGAGAACTACTTGTTAGTTTTGAATGGCTTTTCTTTCTTGTTGGCCCAGAGAATTGCAGTCCAGTCCTTCTGCCTCCACTGGGCTAGAAGAACCACCATGACTGCTGATCAATCGATTTTTGGACACCCTGTTATCACTGCGTTTAGTTCTGCAAGACTTCTTCAGCATCCATTTCTCCCTGCCTCACACTGCCCTTCAATTCTAGTCCCTATTAACTCAGACTTCATTTTCAGAGAGAAAGAGAAAATTAGAACTTCTAATAAAAGCTTCCTTCTAGCTACTTTTGAGCTACTCTCAATCTGTAAATATGAGACAATCTAACAGCAATTTGTAGCTCAGAAATAGCTGTCCATCAGCCTGACTTCTTTAAAGAGCAGTCAGCTGCTGATGGGATTTAAAAAAAAAAAGAGTCAATCCACCATCTTTTTCCTTTAACTAGACTAGAGATTAAATGAAATAGGATAAGGGAAAAACACAGAGAGAAAGAGTTAGAGAAAGGAGTAAGAACAAACTGTACCAAGTAAAACCCAGTTCAGTTCTGTGTTGTGCATCTGCACTTCACCCCAGGTCCACTTTTTTCCACTCCACTGTGAGGTACAACATCTGTAACACCAGTGCCATTATCATACTGCAACAATATTGGGGGGACATTTAACCCTCTTCCAATATCCATATCAAGTACCCAACACACCTACACAGACTCCACTAACACAAGTAGGTACTAGGCAATTTAGATGTCTTTCTTGCAACAGCTCAGCACAGCTATGTAATATCCACTGGCAGCTATAGTATAATTCCTTGTTAGAAAGTAATCATATATGCTGAATACAGACAGACACACAAGCTGTCAAGGACTGGTCATTAAAGCATACAGCTAACCTCAAATTTTCTAACTCCACTTTGATTAATGCAAAACATAACTGATTTCCACTTCAGTTAAGTTTCTTTAAAATACCAACTAAGAACCCATCTATACATCATAGTTTATAAAACAGCACACAAACTATTGTACTGATAGGCTTCCAAGACATTGATATTTAACATCAACATTTAGGACTCGCTGCAAGATGTCTGGAGATTTATGTGTCATTTCAAAGGATGCAATGCGTGTTACGATTGTGTTGGAGGGATTGATGATCAGCTTCAGATTGACCACACTTACCTATGCATGAAAACAAAAGCAACCTAAAAACCAATTATACCCTAGATTAAAACCACAAGAACCATCAGTAATTGAACTGACGCTGGCAAGGCTGGTGAACAAACAGTCCATTGTGCTTGATCTGCCGAGAGTGGCAATCCCTGGTAAGGTTTTGGCGACGGAGACTGTTTCTGTTGAGATAGTGTCTTTCACTATGTTCTTTTATCCAGTGGGTAGGACGAAAGCTCTTGTTTTTCTCCAGGAAAGAAGTCGAACGAGTGGCAAGAGCCGTGACATAGCAGTGAACACGCTGTCCCGTTTCATTTTGGGCCTCCAGTCTGGAAATGCAACAAGTAGATATCCAGGTATCAAACACTACAGAAAGACACTGGAAGGACAAGCAAACTAAAGGGTAGAATGTGGACATCACTATCCACCATTTCAAAAGGGCAGCCTTATTCTACTGGACAGAGATGCAGGCTGACACGAAGTAATGTGCAGTGCTGCTAAATCACTTTTTGTGTAAGGAACCCACAACAGCTTTTGGGTGTCATACTATTGTGCTCCTCCTTCCCCATCCCACCTCCCTAAGCCCAAGATGCAATACAGATCAGAAATACAAGGCAATGTGTGTCACACTGCTCCAGCTTTGGAAGACTTGGGAGTTATCCATTAGGCAAACTTTGTTTTAAAATCATCTTGAATATAGGTGGTTCAGCCTGAAAACAGAAGCACACTAATGAAAGTGCATTTCAACTGCCAGCCACACAAATCCAAACAATGTTCATGCAGAGGAATGGAAAAGATAGACCAGTTGTGACACACACAGGAAAAAACTTAGAAGGATTGTTCCTCAACCAGCCCTCTAATTTCATGAGCAGAGTCAGCAGTTTTGGCAAACCCTTACTTCACCATGCACTAGTTAAAAACAAACCAGCAGCCTATGCAAGCAGGGACCAACATATTGGAAAAGGACTTCCCTACTTGACAGAACAATCACTGGCACTTCCTGGAACATCCAAAGTAAAGTTAAAAATAGCCTGGCCATTTTAAAAACAAAGCAAAACCTAAGTCTGAGAGCTACAGCTGGTATGAGACCAGTGGCACCAGAGTTGCTTGTCTTCTCTCACCCCACCTAGGACACAACAGCCAGCTGTCAACTCAGTGGTGCACAGGAAAGATGTCTGCAAGACCAAGAACTTGCTCAGGCATGAGCATCAGGTCTCTCAGAAAATCTGCTTTTCAGCCCTAGCATGACTTTAAGTTTCTTCTGGAAGAGCTTAACTTGCATTTATTATATGATGTCTCTGTAGACATAAGTCTAGTCTGCCATGCCCTTGGTAAAGCCTTTGTAGCCTTAACTCTTGTGGGGGTGCAGGTACCTGACACAGAAATGAGCTCTCCTGCCTCCCTCCACTCCAACTGGAGCCAAATACTCTGTCAGCAAGGGAATACTCCCTTCTACTCTTCTACTTTATTTTAAATATCCAAATCCACTTGCTTTTGGACCCTTAGGTAGCTTGATATGACTGAGTAAAGACTAGAGACTGCAGAATAGTCATGTGTGGCATGCTGGTTTTCCCCTGTTTATTTACTGGATATTGTACTAAACCTAGCTCTTGAAATAACAAGCAAGAAATAAGTGAGTAACAGTATAAATCAATTCACAGTGTCTTGTCAATACTTTCTACGTAGATTACACCAGTTTAATTTACATGAAGGTACCAGCAAATATGGGGCTACTATTTTCTATATGGGGCAATCCCTTAACAGATTCAACAGTGCTGGAGGTGGAACTCCAAGTGAAGCCTTCCTGGGGAAAGCTGTAAGGAGCCAGGAAGCCATACCATAGTTATTGCAACCTGTATTTCCTAAGCATCCCTTTAGCTAGCAAAGGGCATCAACTGCTAATACAAACTGCTGTGGTTTTGTTACAGAAAACTATGAGTAATCTTACAAACAGGAGGAAGTTTATACAACATCCTTTTGCTTTGAAAGGAATTTAAACAGAGAAAATAGATTTCCCCTGCAAAAGGAGAAAAAAATAGCTGGCTGAAGATACTTGAGCTTCCCCCCGCCCCTTATCAAATACCCTTCCAGCACTGGATTGCAAACCAACACTCTCCTACATGTCATCTTAAAGAGCAACTGGGATAGCAGAGGTGGTTTGAAATAACTGAAAGGTGACATACTCTTCAAAAACGTAGCACTTTGGTACCTTAGTGGCATTTGGTATCCTGGCACTAGTGAGCCCAGTGCGCTGAGAGAACAAGGCTGACAAGTCTCCATCAGTATTGTCAAAATGGAATTTTATAGGGGCTGTGTCTTAAGCCAGACTGTTATGTATGTTCACTGCTGTGGTCCAAGCACCTATTTTGCTAGAAAGCAGAAGTGCCTGCTAGTTGCACTACAGACCCAGACCTCACAGGAAACATTAAAGGCTTCAGACCCCTTCCCAATTAATATTTCAGTAATTTTTCTGCACTTAGCATTTTGGCTTGTTAAAGCAGATGTAGTTAGGCTTGATCAAGTAACATCATTTGGCACAAAGGTTAGTCCTAAAACCAGTATTGCTTTGGCAGACAAGGCTCTAGAGGAAGCAGTGTTGCTAGCAGCCTGATCAAACAAAAAGCACTGTCCCAAAACAGTAGTACTTACTGTGCCAGTGTGCCTTAAGCAGCTTTTCTTGGCCCTACAATGTTAAATGGCCAACCATTAAACCACTAGAGACTTCAAAACAGCTTTTGAAATTTACTGCAATACCAGTGCAATCAATGTTCCCAGTTTCTGCAGTCTACCTCAGTTTTAGACTTGGTCTCCTCCCAGTTCTGCCACCCAAAATAACCTGCACGTGAGCCTAGATCCTCTGACAAACCACAACATGAAATTCAGCATGAAGAAACTTAATTACAGACCAGCTGAAGATCATCACACCTTCAGTTTCCCCACATATTAAAGCAGGTTACCTGTACTATATAATGTAAGACAGGATGCTTGTCCAGAAGAATTTATACCAGTATCCCCAGTTCAAGTCGCTCAAGTCAGTATCCGACTTTGAGTGTTACTATCCACTGCAAAATGGTATTTTAGATAACTGGTTTTCTTTTCCTAGGGCATGCTTTGCAACGTGCACTTCTCCTGCAGATTCCTTCAGACCCTCATTTTAAAGGTGCTGTGTGCCCATAGCTTCTCCCCAGTTTAACAACAGAGACTGCCCTCCCCAAATACTGATACAAATCCCTCACTCCAAGATTAATATTACCAGCACTATACTTCAACATTATACAGCAGCACATCATCTCAGTCACCTGCGTCTTTGAACTAAGAACTTAAAATATGGCAAGGAGCTGATCAGAGAAGTCAAGAGACATCTACCTACAGCAACTCTAACACTACACTCATTTTTTCCCTATCAAAGCTTAGTATATTATGGGTTTTTTTCTTTATTACTGTTTCTAAATGTAAGCACTAGATTGGATGAAAGGTCCTTAACGGGGATTCACAAAACACCCAATTATTTCAAAACCAATGAGCACATGGGCAAGTGTGGGGTCATAATGGCAAAGAAACACTATTTGCATATACCTGTATACACTGCACTTGGATAGCTGCATATACTGGATAGTTAACACCAAAGCAGCACTGCATGACAAACATGCTTCTGCAATAATCCCACATGGTCAGATTTTTAAGACCCAAAACCATAAAGCAAAACTTCTTACCTTGCTAAAAGCAGAAGTTTGCAGCACAAACTTTTACCTTGAGGGGAGTAAGTTTTGTGGAATATTTCAGTTTGTTTCACAAGTTGCTTGCAGAAAAATTTAACCCTGTCCCTATCTATCACTAGGTGGAGGAACAAAACCAAAACCAACCAAAAATCCCACCACCCAAAACTCAAACCACTTCCCTGTCAGGATAATGAAAGTACTAGGTTTCATCTCACAAGGTGACTGAAAGGCTATTGACTAGCAGGTATGAAAAAACCCACATAGCTGTGAAGGGGGCAAAGTGCTTTACTATCTGTATTACTGGCTATACAGCTAACCGCCACCACTTTCAACAGGACCACAACCTACTCTGCAAGGCAGTAATTAGGCTCCATAAATATTCATTGTAGTGTCAAAGTAACATACCCAACTGCTTCCTGACAGTCATCTTGTGTAACATTTTTCTAAGCAGGCAGGCAGCCCTGACCACCCTACCCACCTTGTGTACTATTCATGCTTTATTCACCTGCTCTGAAATAAGCTGGAAAATTCAGTATTAAGTGTCTAAGCTGATCAAGTAGAAACCAGATATTTTCAGCAACAGAGCTCCTTGATGAGAGAATGCAGACATACCTGGGACTACCTGGGCTGTGAAACTCCTCATCCCCACATCCAGTCTCATTAAGGCTGTGACAGGTGTTGTGGACAGCATACACAGACATGCTGGGATGCTCAATTAGGAGGTTCTCCATCGGACTGGTTTCCACTTTGATAGTGGTTAATCCACCTGCAGTGAAACACGGGGGAGGGGTAATAAACCAGCTCTCCTCCATAGGGCATGAATCAAACTGGATGAAGCAAGACTCGCTGGCCTCCGGCAAGTGTTCCAAGGGAGATGATAAACAAGAGAAGACGGGTGAGCCATCCGTGGCCGATGCTTCAGTAATGTCAGCTTCCTCCACGGAGCAATTAGTGCAAGTATCTGCTATAGGTGACCATTAGTCAGCAGAGAGGAACCCATGGATGTTGGTGATCACAGGAGGTCAAAAACAAGGTAGACAGAAATGGGATATGAAAAAAACAAACAAACAAAAATAAATCCCTGTTAGCACATACACAAGCTTTTATTTTTTAAAAGCAGGGGAGGGGAAAAAAGGAGTTCCCAGACAAGCCACGTTAGACACGTAAAACTACTGTTATCAGTAAAGCAATATCATTGCATAATAAGTCAAATATATTTTAGCTGTACAGGTGGTTCTGCTGGAGCCAGTGTCAGGCTTATAAACCTGACATCATTCTCACCAGTTTACACAACATGTTTCAGTACATTTGTTTGGAAAACACCCTACACTCTAATCCACATTGGTTTTGCTTAGATCAAGTTTCTCCAAGTTAATGGAAGTAAGACAAGCAAGAGCCAGAGCAAGACAACCGCAGAGCTTATGTTTGACAGACATCTTACCTATAAAGTCAACCAGAATCCACTCGTCGTCTTCTTTCTCACTGAACTCTGGCTCTTGGCTGGACAAGCTAGCAATCTCTCCTATGAGCATGTTATTTAACCTCTGGAACATTACTAAGGCAGGAACAAGACTTTGGCTGGTAAGTCTTTATATCCAAGGTTCAAGGCACAGCTCACACTGTTCTAGCAGAGTGGTACAGACTTCAGATTAAAGTGCATAGATGCTTTATCAGCTTAGGCAGGAGACACACAGAGGCATGACTTGTAAACAGTTTGTGTGAAACCTGCAAAAAAATGGTGATAAGAGTCTTAATGACAAAGCAACAGGTAACATCCTGAGGGAAAAAAAATGTTCAAAACCCCACCCTTGTTAGTGCAGTCTGAGGTACCAGTGAACATTCTCCCCAAAAAGGAGAGGCAGCTTCACTGGCATTCACCATCCCCTCCCAGCAAGATACATAGAAACACACACACACAAAATAATCCCAGGTCTCCCTTGGGAGTTGATTGCCTTCCCCTCAATCCTCCTCCCCATGAAAAGGTCTGTCAGCTGTCAGTCCCACCTCCTCCTATGGGAGGAGAAGACTCTTGTACAGGAGCCTTGTGCCTATGTGCACTGCGGTGCTCCCCCAACTCCCTGTCTGTCCTCCTCCTGGTCAGAGAGAGATGCAAATAGCATGTTTTCTGCTCCAGAAAACTCATCTCCTCCGCTGACACAGGAGAGCCCCTGTGAGGGCTCTCAGGGAAGCCCAAGGAAGTGTTTAGTCTCTCCCCCACCACACACAGTTCAGGGCCACTGCCTACAAGTTCACACAGTAGGAAGGCACAAGCACATCTTCAGGTTCTAAGTGTGCTACAGTTACCAGTGGGATCATTTTCACCGTAAACACCCAGCTAGTCATGTATGGTAAGTCTAAGAAACATGGAAAAACATCACGTATACTTAATTAAGCTCAGTGTTTATTTCTCAATACACTTCCCTAAATCTACATGTAACCGGTCACCATAAGCCTAAACTCTACTTCTGGCAGTTAAGATAAAAAAATCCCATTAGTACCAAGAAGCTGAATGTAAAAACACCTCAGATCAGCTTGCTTAGAGCCTCTGATATTTATGTATGAGGCAATATATAGAGAACATCTACAAGTTAATTTCACCATAATAATATTTGAATCATTACAGCATGTCAGTACAGATTAAATACCTGTTTGGTAATTAAACAATGAAGAAAATATGCATGTAAGATGGTATGAGTGCCTGCATTCAGAAAGAGAAAGGGAGTAATACACACCACACTAGACAAACCTAGACATTAAAAGCAGATACAATCTGTGAAGAATATCATTTAATGGTGTTATACCCTGCCTCACCCTGGCCATTTCAGCCTCCTACATCACCTTAATCCAGGACACCAGATCCCATCACCTACTTGTTCAATGCAAGGACCTGCTCCATACAGTACTGCTCCTGTAGACACTTACACAGCTAGCTTATTCAAACAGCACAAAAGGATAGGAGCAGAATTTGAGGCAGACTTCAGGAGCAACACAAAAAGGTACAGTGTAACTCAAGAAGTTATGCACTCCAGTACCTCAACAGAAACTATTGCCTGCAGCAAAATACAAGACTGGAAACAAGTGGCTCAGCTGCAGTAATGAAAGTCTATTTTTAAGGACCACACTAGAAAATGAAACAGCAGGGCTCTCAGAGCACTACAAAAGTGATCAGAAGTTTAAAGAAAAACAGTAAAAATTTAAAAATGAAAAGTCTTAACAGAGGGAATGAAAAAAGTACAACAGTAGCCAATTCTATGAAGAAAGAAGCAAACATTTATTTTCTTCTTCTACACTCACAGCAAGCAGAAGTGGTTTTTAACTGCAGTAAAGTTCGATTTTCAGTGGTTACTAACAGGAAATGTTTTTAACCATTAAGGTCACTAAGCCCTGGATGGGTTATCTAAGGAAATGCCAAATGCCCAGTGTTCCCAAGCATCTTCTTGAAAAGGTTTGTGTGCTTCAGCTATAGGCAGAGCCTACCATGGATAAGGAAATGGACTCTAAGTCAAAGCTTTAAGCCTGTAGTTTTCCAGTTACCCTCCACATCCTTCTCATACCGTCTCCTGGCACAAGGTCTATAAAGAAAAGAGTTTGTTTTCAGTTTAGACTAACTAGTAAGCCATCGTGTTGCTGTGATCAGCACTGGATTTCCCTGTACTCCCACACGCATGCGTTGGCTCCTTCCTAGATCAAGCCTGGAAGTACCTTCAGGCAGAGGCTGTCTTTTTGTTCTATGCAGAGTGGAGCAAGATGAGAGCTCATACTCCTACATTAAGGCTCCTGAGGCATCACACAAACATCAAATAATTAAACTCTAACTAGCAATAAAGATATCACTGTTCCTGAGAACATATGCTAAACAACTACAGCTTTCTGATCCATAAAAGACTTTCTGTAGATCAAAAGCAGTTTGTACCCTTTTCTCCTTCCCCCATCCAAAGAGGATCCAAAAAAACATCTGAATCATTTAGAAACTGGTTGATGTTTAGACATCCTTCTGGACAAGTGCCTTTAAAAAGGCCACACTCCTGTGCTACTGGGCAAGTCAGATGGGGACCAAGAAATTAACACTGTTATCGCGGGCCATCGTCCGGAGAGGAAAACAGGACAGAGACCGAGAGAAGTTTTCGAGTTCTTAGAACAGGAACTATCAGCGACAGGAAAACACAAGGCTGGGAACAACTGACTCAGCTGCAGCAATGATTAAGAGGCTGTTACAGATAAGACATACGGGGAATGTCAACAATACAGTATCGTTGCTTTAAAAAACCCGTATTTTCCTCTCTTTTTCTCTCTAACCTAGCAAGGGAGATGGGGTACGTGCTAAGAAAAGAAAAAGAACAGGAACTATCAGCGACAGGAAAACACAAGGCTGGGAACAACTGACTCAGCTGCAGCAATGATTAAGAGGCTGTTACAGATAAGACATACGGGGAATGTCAACAATACAGTATCGTTGCTTTAAAAAACCCGTATTTTCCTCTCTTTTTCTCTCTAACCTAGCAAGGGAGATGGGGTACGTGCTAAGAAAAGAAAAAGCCCAAAGAAACATACCAAAGGCCTCAAAGCAGACACCGCTGAACCCCCGCA